TGGACATGAGGTGAAAATATGAATCAATTTGGAATGAAAATGCCATAATCTCAGTCAACTCCTAATTATCTATCTATCTATGTTAATGAGAAAAGGGATTATCTTAAGTAATTGAGAACAACGAATGGAGAGTTCTCAAATTACTGTTACTTTTGATGAATCTTTTCCCTTTTTCGAGGAGTCCATCCTCTAAAGGTATAGACTCTAGTGTTTTGGGGTCCAAGATGGGCCATCAAAACGGCAGACCATCTTCAAGTAAACAATCCATCCATAGATAACTGAGTTGACGTGACTGACACATATTCCAATGAATAAACTGCACATGGACAGTACATGCCAAGCATGCTTCAGAGTAATTTCTGAAACTAAGAATAAGGGAAGATAACTAACACTCCCTGGCAAGAGCAAAACATGCTAGTGTCTCGTCAAGAGAACGAGTAGCTTACCTCCTGCAGGAGATCGGCCTGCTCAATTGCTTTAAGCACATTTTTCTTGGATGTTTCCTGAACTTCTCCTCCCAAAAGAAACTCATCCAAAATAAAATAAGCCTTCTCAAAATTAAAGATGATATCAAGTTCACACACCTGAAAAGCAAAATAAAGAAATAATAATGTTAAGACTGAAGAAAGCAAAAGATACTTAGCTATTATCAGGTAGTAAACAAAACCTAACTAGAGTGAATCCATCTTAATTCTTTCTAAAAATGGCGATCTCTCTAACTAAGCTTCATTGGTTTAGTCAGCTTAATTTTCAGATCTCAAGTACTTGAAAACACAATGCCTACAAGCTAAGTAAGACCAAACTCTGCAAACTCCCAATATGGGCAACTTTTCTACTCATAAAAACTGATCTTTTAAACTACATATTTCCTGGGTAGATAATGTGATTATGACCGCTAACCAAATCTACACTCTACACTAAGCACTCTCAGAATATTAATCTTTGCAGTTAGACTACTTTCTACTTCACTATTTTAAACTTCACTCTCACCAGCATAATTAAATGAGTATGTCTGTGGGGTCAAGCAATTCTGGCAATTCACTGACTAGGCACACTGACAAGTAAGAGTCATTATTCCTTCCCTCTCACGCAGTCAGAACCCCCAAGACAATCAAATAATAAACTTCTTATAAAAAATATTTTAAAAACTACGGTGTTCAATTCCCTAAAACAAAATATTACTCACACTGCCAAAATACTTGTCAAGTAATTCCACGTAACGATGAATTATTTCCAGGGTAATTAGTTCATTGTCCTGGTCCTCAATAGCACAGCAAAAATAGAGACTAGCATATCTGTGACAAAAAAACAAATGTGAAAAAGATTTTACCCTACAATCATAGTTCCTAAATGTATTTTCATATCCTATTGTGAAAGACCCCACGTGTATAGTTTACTTCCTCTTTTACAACAGTACAGATTATTTTTCTCCTAGATTACAAAATAAATGCGTAAGAAAGAGAAAGTTTGAAAAGTATAGGCAAGCAAAAAAGAAAATCACTCAATCACACCATCTAGAAAAAGTAACCATTTTGCTCTTCTTCCCTTTAGGCTCCTTTCTATGTAGATTCTGAAACATAGCTGACCCAGGTTGTTCTGAGGTTCACTTAATTAAAACAAAATGCACTGCATGACTAATTCAAACTACAAATAAACAGAGAAGAAAATAAACTCTCCAATTGAAGGACTTATTAAAGATATTGTCAACGTAAAGTCAATGTTCTGGAACGTTTTATTGAAGTGTAATACACACACAGAGGAGAACACAAGTCATAAATGAGTTTTCAAAGTGAACCCACCCACCAGCACTTGTCTTAAGAAATAGATTACTGAACTTCTGAAACCCCTCTCCTAGCCTCTCCAGGTCACAACCTCCCACTCCCAAGGGTAACTAGTATTTTGACTTCTAACAACATAGAATTAAAAAAAAAAAAGAAAAAGAAAAGAAAAGGTTTCTAGGGTTGCGGAATAAGCCTCGGCAAAGAACAACAGTTCTAAGTTACTACAGAAGTTAGAGTAAGAGAACATGGGAAACAGAGACTTGTTCTCAAATTTTCCAAGTAACCCTGCTG